GGCAAAATCAAAAGCTCAAACACATCAAACGAATGGATAACAACTGTCATATTCCTGACTTGGTACAGGCATTTTCTTATGTAGAAATTTAGCTTGAAAAAAGTCTCGAAAATCTGAACTGGTTGAACCTTACATTTTCTTACAAAATAATTAAAATTTTGCGATTTCCATCTAGCACAAAACGCCATTGCAACATCTTTTGAAAGCTGAATTATATGCTATTGTTCCACAGCACGAACGCTCCAATGCACGATTCAATACACCATTGCAGCATGTGTTGTAAGCTCGATCATACGCTTTTGTTCCACAGCATGACCGCTCTTTTTTGTGGTTCAATACATCATTGCAGCAGGATTTGTATGCTGGATTATACGCAACTGTACCACAGCAAGAACGCTCCCATTTATGATTTAATACACCATTGCAGCAGGTTTTGTAAGCTCGATCATACGCTACTGTTCCACAGCACGAACGCTCTTTTATGTGATTCAATACACCTTGACAGCAGGTTTTGTAAGCTCGATCATACGCTACTGTTCCACAACACGAACGCTCTTTTATGTTATTCAATACACGATTGCAGCAGGTGTTGTAAGCTTGATCATACCATCTATTTCCACACACAGCTTGAAAGTTAAAACACATAAACATTACAATGTGCACGTAAATGTTTGCAGAACAATAGATAATAATATTAGGACCAACTACAGCACCTTAAAACAAATTCAAATTTATCCATGCTCTTCAAACTCCCTTTTTTCATAAAGACTTGTTATGATATATGAGAGGTTCAAATTTGAAATACCTAGTCATTCACATGGTGTTCGACCTAGCTGCTTGTTCATAATAAAATACAAAATGGATACGGAGAATGTTTCTAAGAGAACAAACCCGACCAAGAGCAGAAAACAGCCCAAGACCACCGACGGATCTTCAACGCAGCGGGAAAATCCTGCGCCCGGAATCGGGTTTCAGCAGACTGCTACACAATATTGTATTATAGTTACGCAAAATGGACGCCATATTAAAATCCAAAACATGCAAATGAACCTAGTTAAAAAAATCGAAATTTAGCCCAATGATCTTGATTTAAAATACAAAAAAAAAACGTTACGTACAGACATTACGAGAACAAAACTGGTGTTAACGTGATATTATTTATAAAGTTAGGCAGGAAATAATGTATGAATACCAATCGTCACAACTTGGTCGATTCCGTTCCTAAGGGGTGTAGTGGAATGACCTGGGGTTGCCAACCGGTCTGAACAGGGTCTATTATACAAACAATGTGAGTAATTGCAAGTGATTATTTTTAGTGACATATTGTATTAACTTAACAAACGTACCTGCTTGGGTTTTCTCTATCAATAAGAAACATATCAGTAAAGCAGTGAAAGTTCCTTTGCAATTTGCCATTTGTTTTCTGAAAAAAATAATTGATTGCTACCGATAATCAGACTCGAATTAACAGTTATATGTATTATCAGTATAATTCTCAAATATATAAATACATAATTTATTGAATACGTAAATAATGGAAAAACATTAACAGAAAAACAATTCCCACAGGCTAGGGATGTAAGAGGCAGGTTGCTCGCTCACAAGCATGATTCGGCCCTCCATATTTTATGTGTGCCGGTCCAAAGTCAATGGCATGTAATTCAGTGGTTCGCGTTGGTTGCTGTCTGTAAGATTTGTTATTTGTTTGTTGTTTTGATATACACCAGGGTGTTAGATTTGGTCATATCGGGACGTTTATTCGCTGACTATACAGTATGGGTTTTGAGCATGTTGGTAGTCCTTTAGGTGACCTTTAGTTGCTTGAAGTCATTTAATTGGCTAGGTTCTGTCTTATTGGAAATGAGAATAAAGAATTGAAATAAAATACAGAATGTGCATTTGTCCGAATATCTATCCATAGGTACATAAATAGGCTTATTAAAACAATATTTATAAACTCTGTGATAGAATATCAGAATAAATTAAACGAAATACATTGTACAATAATCTGCAAGAAACGCCTGCCGGATTAAGTATGATTAATAATACGTAATTCGAGCCATCAAACTCTTTAGACACCAATAAAATTATATTCAATTGCTGTCATCCGAAATATGCATGCAATATTTGCCACTGAATGACTTGCATTAAAAAAAAGTAACCATTAAACATTCATTCAAAGTTAACTTTTTATAGCTTGAGAAAGTAATTTGTGTCCATGATATAACAGATAAACAAATATTTGTATACATCATTAACTTTCGGAACTTTTTGCTCAAAAGTTTTGATAAAGATTAATTTTCATGAGTTCATGTCACTCAATCTTTTTTTTGTGTTGTTTGTTTTTTGAGGGTTTGTCTTTCGTCTTTTTTCTGTTGGCATTGTAGTTGACAACTGTCCATCCATTTTTTTTACTTTGAAGTGTCTCTAGTTAAATGAACATTACATCTTACTCAAGTACGTTGTTTGATACAAGTCTGTATATTGTTGTACTTTCTTATATCATATACATGTATATATACATTCAAATCATTAAAATTAAAAATAAAAATAACATTATAAATTGTTTGCGTCAAAAGCTCTTTACTGGACAAATCATGAATACTAAGACAAACGATATTTGAAAGCCAGGGATGTATAAACATTTAAATACGTGAGGAGCGTATGAACTAAAGTGACATAAAAAGTAGCCAAATTCACTTATGTAATCTTTTTGTTATGAAAAACAATATTTTTTCGTTAGTTCCAATGGTGATTGGCTCAATTTTATACATGCTATTTGTGCAATAACTAAAATCGAAAAAAATAATAAACATGTTAATATTGACGAATATAATATCAATTCATATCTCATGTGTGTACTGTTAAATGTAATTGTATTCATAATTGTTGTATTCTCTTTCCTTTGTTTTCCTGACCTTTAACACGAAAAATTTCTACTTTTCTCGATTTCTCAGCAGATAAACGTAAACAAAATCAAATGATGCATATTTATTACATATAAAATTAAGATATTTGAAATGAAATAATTTACCTGATTTGCTTTTGAATTTCGAATGACCGTTTTTATATTTAGCATTTTCATATAAAGTCAGATATAATATCTATACATGAATATGTCATTAAAATAGTATTTATGTTATTAAGTGTTATTATATATTTGAAACATATCGCAAGTGGCAATTAATCATGTTCTGGAAACAAATGAGAACTGGATGGTGATGTTTATCTATGGATTTAAATTTAAATACAGACTATGTTTGTCATATGTTTTTATTTTGTCTTAAATAAAACCAAATACATATTAGGCATAATGAAAATTAACACGTTCTTTCACGCTGCTTTGGTAAGTTGGATTATGTCAAACGCTGAAAAACAACGTTGTACATGTTATGATATAATATATATAATAATACGGAGCACTTGAGATCACTCCCGGTTTTTGGTGAGGTTCACTCACATCAATTTCACATGAATTTAAATTTATGTGAATCGCACGTGAAATTCACGTGAATTTCACCTCAAACGAGCTTATACGTGAAATCAGTTCATGTGAGTTTTATGTGAATCTCATGTCAAAGTAAAGTAAATTTCACGTTTAAATCACATGATTTTTTTTTACGTGAAATTCATGTGAATTTTTAAAATAACGTAATTCAAATAACATCTTAATCATGTAAAATACCAATTTTTATTTGGTAAAGTTCACATGAAATTAATGTGAAAAATTGCACGTGAGATTCATGTGAATCTCAATTCAAGTGAAATTCACATGAAAATTTTCATGTGAATTTCATTTGAGATTGATGTGATATTCACGTGAGCAATTTTTGCCTGTGTACTGTTATCTGTCATATTATCGGTAATAGTTTTTTGACATGGTAATGTCAGTTTGTTTTCGACCTATGCGTTTGAATATCCATTTCGTATCTTTCTTATCTCTTTTAACCAATGTATTCCATGGTCAATGTTGTTTTTATTTATTTGGAGAATATATATTTTTGGTAAAGTGTCAAATTAAGAGGAAACAAAAGCAAATACTTTCATTGTTTGCCTATCTCCTGAAGATATCTACGATATTCTAAGTTAAAACAAAACTGAAAAAGGATAATAAAATGTTATGCGTCCGAGGAGATTTTCTAGATTTTGCTTCATATGTTCGTCCTGTATATGTATGCAATGTTAAGCAATGATTCATTTCATTAATCATCAAGTACAATTTATTAAGTCATACGACAGTTTATTATGCCCTTTTTGGTTGTGTCTCTGATTTTTTCTGATTTTTAAATTAGTTCAATGAAAAACAAAATCACACGGTAAAACACATCAAATTCGTAATGTTTCAATTTTGATTGTATTATGTTCCACATCGAAGCATAAATTCATTTCAGTTATGGACTTGACCTTCTTATTTACCATCGCACCTATATTTCGTACCTAGAGAAAGAAAAACGAACGAAGACTTGATCCTTCGGGTACGGTGAGATAAAATGAAATTGTTATTGAGAGTCAGCTTCGTTAATCAACTCATATTACAATATCACATATTAAAATATGCATAGAAGATACAGAGAAAGGGAAGACAATCATAAGTCTTAGAAAAACTTCCTACATACTATCCATAGGACAAATGACCAAAGTACCGTTTCCAAAGCAGAAAAACTAAAGACTGATTAACAAGAACGATTCCAAAAAGCCGGTGATTAAATCAATTACTCTTGTAGGGTATGCTACAGCTCTTCCAGTACCCTTCGAACTGCCCAATGTAAGAGAAGTGTGTTAACGATTAGTTGTATGAGATGATGTTACAATCAGTGAAAAGAAGACGGATTGTGGCTACGATAAATGAAACCTATGATTTGTGTTTTGTGACTTCCATAACGGTCAACCAAGCTATATAAAAGCAACTCAGTAGTCCCGTATAGGATACATGATTCAGAAGATACTAGAAACATCTATTATGTGGCAATTGTTATAAGGGAGAGAAAACACACTATTACTAAAATTGAGAATGGAAATGGGGAATGTGTCAAAGAGACAACAACCCGACCATAGAACAGACAACAGCAGAAGGTCACCAACAGGTCTTCAATGCAGCGAGAAATTCCCGCACCCGGAGGCGTCCGTCAGCTGGCCCCTAAACAAATATATATACTAGTTCAGTGATAATGAAAGCCATACTAAACTCCAAATTGTACACAGGAAACTAAAATTAAAAATAATACAAGACTAACAAAGGCTAGAGGCTATTAAACGTATGTATGAAAGTATTCTACTGTTTTTTTTATAATGTCCGAATACCAATGTAGTTTTAGTCTAGAATATCTTCACTATATTCCATTCCAAGTGAACAGGGTTAAGAGAATAGACAAAGACAGAAATAGTTTTAATATTTTTATTGAGTCATATGTATTATAAATGCCTTGAATGAAACAAAATGTTACTTTAGCGGAAAAATTGTATTACATAACAACTATCTCGTTATTTTCCTTCCATGTGATAAACAAAGTAAATAACAAGTGAAATATATGTAACAGGAATACTTGATGGGGTGCTGTACACCAAGTTTAATTGTTGAACAGCAATATGTGCAATAAAAAATCAATTAAAATGTTGAAAAAAAAAGAAATGTATGTATGAAAGTTAAAGTTAAGGTCACCCACCAACAACTGTTCGTCGCCTAGCAAAAAACCCCATTACAGCATTGTTTGAAAGTTGGATTATAGGCAATGGTTCCACAGCATGCACGTTGCCTAAAAGTATTCAATACTCCATTGCAGCAAGTTTTGAAAGTTGGATCATACGCTACTGATCCACAGCATGCACGTTGCCTAAAAGTATTCAACACTCTATTACAGCAAGTTTTGAAAGTTGGATCATACGCTACTGTTCCACAGCATGCACGTTGCCTGAAAGTATTCAACACTCCATTGCAGCAGGTTTTGAAAGTTGGATTATACCATTTAGTACCGCATACAGCTGAAAAAGAAATGTACACCATACAAAAACGCGTTAATATATGTAAGATTCAGATCGATGTTTGGTCTCTTATCGACGTCCAAATCTGACGTCATCATGGTCATAGTAAAATAGCTATCAAAAATAAGCGGCCAATTCGTTGCTCTCTAATCAACGTCCAATAGTTTCCGAATCGACGTTTTTTTTACGGACTTGCCGAAATAACTTCACGACTCCATTTAACGAAAACAACTGGAACATTCATGATCGGATACAAGCATTTCCTAAATGCAAACGGTTGGTTGAACCTTAAACGCAAACGAGAAGTTAAAAAATTAAAGATTTTGAATGTTGCAGAGTGGTAACAATAATACGTTTCAACATTTGACTGTACACCTTTAATCTGTATACTAGTACTTCTAAAGACCGTATGTTGCCCTTTAGATGTCTTTCGGTTATCTCTTTAGTTGGTTTGTTATCTCATTGTCATATATCCATATGTCAAAATATTGATATGCTTGTAAATGTAATACACACAAAAAAAATATTACTAAGTAAATATATTTTACTTAAATTAAGTATTCTTTTTTATTACTCATTACTAGGAATTACTAACAAATTACTCACTATTACTAGCAATTACTTATGTTTTGCTAGATATGAAAATAGTTACTCGAAACAAGTAATTGTTTTACTGAAAATGTGTGTCTATTAAAACAATTACTTAAATTAAAACAAATACTAATAATGATTTTACTCACTTGAGTAATTTGAATCACTTAGTCCTTATTTAAGTAATAACTTACTGTTTTTAGTAAAAAGAAATTACTTAGATTAAGTTATATATTAATAAACTACACATATTTATTTTTTTATTTATACTAAAATGCAGTATGAAAGTTACTGGAATTACTTCTGATAACTTTGATATAAAACTTGTTATTATTAAGTAAGCTTAGGCACTACCTAATGTTGTTTGCTTGCATACGGCTTGTTATATATAATAATAAATGCTTTCTATGAAATTTGACTCCATAGTTTAACAATTTCAACATATGTAGGTTTCACTGTCTGCAAATTGCATAAATTTGGATAACTGTTAAAGAAATTTTCTTTAAACAGGCTATTATTTCAACTTGGAATTATCTAATTATGGAATTTGCATAATTTCTTGTGCTTGAATTTGTTTTATAAATTCCATGTTTATTCTGTATTTGAATGTTCTGTGCAGCGCACAACACTTTCTATTACAAATAAGATTACACATTTTCAATAGAATACATGTACTGTGCCGCGCACAACACTATCTATACAAAATAAATTGTATTGAAAGTGTAATTGAATGCTTAAAAAATTATAATGCAGAATAAACATGGAATCCATTAAAAATTTCAAGCACATGAAATTATGCAAATTCCATAATTAAAAATAATTCCGAATTGAAATAATAGCCTGTTTTTAGATAATACTTTGAAATGCTTAAAAAATTTGATTGGAATTACTTAGTATCAGAATTACTAGTCATTACTTAAATTATTTTCATATCAAAATATCTTCAAATTATCATTATTAATTTTTAATATAATTTTTATAATGTAAACTTACATGACTTAGTCTTACTAAAATTTATAATTAATTATTTATTTTAAATGTACAAAATTATATCATATTTCCTGTATTTAATAAGAAGTTTTTTTTATTTGAGACTGATACAATATTCAACCAATCAAAATTAAGGTTTCATTTGACTTTGGTAAGCTATTTTTGAAAATTGGCTGGAACTCATTCAGATTTGAATTTGAACAAAAAGTATACTGAGTTTGTTGAAATACTTACACGATTGACAAGCATGAAAGGAAAGGAGAACCTTACATAAAGGACACTTTGTGGGTATTTATTTTTCTAGCTACTCTTTGTGTACTAATTCAATTAAATGAAAATGTAACACAAAGAGTTGCTGGGGAGGTAGCCCATGTTAACTTACAACAAACAAGAATAGAAATGGATTATAACAAAGGATATAGTATATGATAATTCTTTAAAAAGGTATGTTACTTTTTCAAATTATATGCATTTATGATAAAACAGTGTAGTTTTTATTTTAATATTTATATATACAATTTATAGGTAAAAGAATTACCCAAAACCTACAAATAAATTTACTGTTGCAAGTAATTGTATTTCCAGAAATTATTTGCCATGAGTAAAAAAATGGCTTACAAGTGGTACACGAATTACTAAGAGTATTAAAAGAAATACTCGATAAATATTAAAAGAATTACTTACTATTATTAAAAGAAATACTTAATGTGTATTAAAAGAATTACTTACTTTTATTAAAAGAATTACTTACTTTTATTAAAAGAATTACTTACTTTTAATAAAAGAATTACTTACTATAATGAAAAGAAATACTTAATGTGTATTAACATGATTAAATGAATTACTTACTATAATAAAAAGAATTACTTATTATGTATGAAAAAAATTACTTAATATTTATTAAAAGAATTACTTAAGATACATTGCAAAATTACTTAAATTTAATTACTAGGTAATTACTTATAATTACTTGGCATTACTAGCAATTACTCACTTTTTGACAAACATTTTTACTTGTTTTTTTACTTGATTTGAGTAAAATCAATACTTGTTTTAAGTAATTGCATGTAATTAATTTTTTTTGAGTGTAGGATGTTGGTGTCTTATTGCCGTTCAGAAAAGCGTTCGGACACATGAAATTTATAACGTGTTGTTTTCATTTTTTACTGATATTTGTCCTTTAAATTTTCTTTTAGTTAACTATTTTGAACGAGACGATGCCGACTTTTCAGTTCATACACATGTACTAGGTATTTATGATTTGTGACGTAGTTTTGGTCATAAGTGGGGTCACATTGGACGTCAATTAGAGGGTTAAAATATTGGACACTGATTCGAGAAACGTCATTTTACATTTCATGTCTATTTGAGGAACGGTCGTCGATTAGAGACCGGACGTCGACCTGAGTTTAATTAATATAGAATGGAACATAGTATAACGTTAAAAGCTTATTTCAAAAATGCTGTAAATAGGGAAAACAGAAATGTACAGTCCAAAATTAAGGTCTAGCTACATCTTCAATTTTGAATAACCCTCGACTATCTCCGTTGTCTGTAAAGTCGAAAATGATTGCATCAGGTGTTATTGCAACACTTTCACCTGTATTTGTCTTTCCGTTTCTTTTGTTTTTATATTCGAGAGAGTAATATACTCATGTATGTATTCATATCGACATAACGTCTAGTATGAAGTGAAAAACAAACAACATATATGTTATTTGTGAAGGATACAGTATGGTGGGACCAGGTTTTAATTCCTAAGTTGGATATCACAAAGAATTATCAGTCTTTGATGATATATTTAAATGTATTGAGGACACTTATTTGTGTTGTATCAGTAATAAAGTTTTTGAATATTGTCTTAAGAAATGATATAAGCCTTCTTTTTAGCGCATTTATTGAACCATTGTTAAACATATTCCTTTTGCTGATCTTTCAATTCATCTCGCTGTATGACCCTCAGTCCCCCTTCCCATCCACCATACACACGAATTATTAAAAGATGTATTTCTTATGGATATTTATCATTTAATAATAATGAAGTCCCAAAGTATTCTTGATGCAGATCTTTAAATGGCTTGATAGAAGTATCATACTCATGTTTCAGTAAACTGTACATATTTTTTGAGTTGGGCTTAGGAGTTCAATTTACTTTTGCAGGGAACAAGTTTACATAAGCTTAACATTATTTTTTATATACATATGCACATTCATGGCTCTACAATCTGTCAATACCAGTATCTTGGCATTGAACAAGGTCATGTTTTTCTCTGACTGTTAATGACGTCTTTACACTAAATCCATTAGATGTTGGATGTGTGCTGATTGATATTTAAGTCTTAGATGCATGATTGTTTTATTAGTTGTTATTGGCTTTGAACTAGCTGTCAGTAACTGCGAGTACTCTCAGATCTGTACTTAGTGTCTTTTTGTTGTGAGGATGCATATGTACCCGTCTACGGCCACTCTGTGTTTTTGTTAGATGTATTTCTATATGTATCCATCTAATGAGTTAAGCCATTTT